GCAGAGAATGGAGAAGAGCCCCAGCAGAGAGGGAAGAACAACACTGCAGCGAAGATTACAACATGGCTCTGTGTGTGGGGGTGTTACCAACACCGTTCCAGCTACAAACACAAAGCACAGCTCTACAGGAGAAGCTGGGGAAAGGGAGTTCCATCCCAGCCAGCACAGTAGGACATGGCTGCTCTAGACCTGGCAAGCTTTTGTGGGCTTTTTTTTAATTCGCTCAAGTGTTCAAGTTTTCACAGTGTAGGTTTGATTTCTTTGGATTTCAAATGTTTTGCTTGATTTAAATTGTATATAAGGTAATTCACCATTTCCACTAATACTTACTGAAAATGCTTTTTCCCCCCTCAGGATCAGGAGACAAGGTCTTTGCTCTTGCAAGTGTTGAAGTAGAAAAGGCAAAACAATGAAGAGGTTCGTGAGGCTTGTGTCTCCAGTTATCAGCAGCATTGGATTTTGGTCATACTGCGTTTGGTTTTTCTATTTCTTACATGTTGAAAAAAAAGCAAAGCAAAACAAAAAACCCAAGCCCTAAATCTCTTGGGTCCTTAACCAGAAGATATGAAGTAAACAGCCTTAAGTGCACTTTGGGACCTTGCTGTCTGTACCCTTTCAGTAATACAAGCTCTGAGGCTGAACACTAAGAGGAGCTCTAAAACAAAAGCATGGTGTGACTGTCTTTGGAAAGAGTCAGTTGTTTTGAACTTTTCTGAATGTGTATTTCTCTAACTATTAAAACTTAATCTTTTTGCATGTGGTTGTAGCAAGCAGATCTTTTTACTAAGTGGTCCTGATGGGTTTTTTTGGGTGATTCTTCACATTGTCTTAATTTTTGTCTGGACTCCCCACTAAGTAGTTTGTGCTAGGAAGGCATTGAAGCTTTGGAAAATGGATGTAGTTTATTGAAATGCCATCTTTCTACAAACTGTTTGCAGAAGACCCAAAATGAGCCTGGATGCTGATCACTGGCCCTTGGCTGCTTGTTTGCCGTGCTCATGAATGAGCACTTTGTGTCCCAGCCCTGCTGAGGACAATGGCAGCCCTGTGGGGAGGCTTCTGGAGTCATTTAACCTTGTGTATTGAAGGGACAGGAATTGATAGGACATGGCAGGGAGATGCTCTTCCTTCAGCTCTGGTGTGTAGCTGTTATTTCAGAGGGGACATGAAATAGCTTGCAAGTAGAAACAAAAAAAGCTCCCGTTATGTGATCAGTGCAAGTGTTGTTCAGTCTCAGTGGTGGTGCTATGGAGAGGGGAGGGTCTGTGTCTCCACTGGATCCCACCCAAATAAACTAAGCTTAGGAGGATTTGAAATCTCGTAGTTGAATTTTTAGCTCAGAGAGTAAGTGGGTAGCATTGACTAGAAACAGAAAATTAACATGGTCCGTTGTCATTTAGAGTGCACTTACTGGGCATAAATACCCTATAAATTAGCAAGTTTGTCTAATTGTAAACTGGGACTGGAGTAGATTAGAAAATGTGTTTCTAGACTGTATTTTGCTTTAACAGATATACTTTTGACATCTAGCATTGAAGAAATGAAAGGATACAGGATAGAGATAGCATAATTTGTTTTTCACTGATAGCACTTCTTTCTCCCTGTTATTAGAAAGCCTTTATTGAGGAGGGGTCTTTTGTCTATTTTCTGTCTGGGACAGCATTGTGTTCTCTGATAAAGGCTGATTGCAGCTTCGTAGCTGAGAGCAGCTTATTAAAAGGCGTTATTAGACTCTGAAATTATGGGAAGCAAAACAGTCTGTGAGGACTGGAGCTGCCTTCTTTTCCTTTCTGCTCATTACTGGTGCTAAGGAACTCTCTCCCCATACACCCCCAGCCTTCGTGCAGCATTATTATGTAAATTAAATCTCTCAGCACTCACAAAAAGTTTACAGTACAATGACATGGAAATCTTTTTCCTTGTAGTTTGACAGGTGTACGTTTCCAGGAGAAACTTTTTAAAATTGGTTTGTAAATATTTCATGGTTTTTGCAAATACCTGTACTGCGGGCAGTTGTAACATTCCAATTAAATTGATCCTTGACTGAACATCTTTCCAACATCTGCTGCTTCTGCTCTTGGAAGGATCTCTGGTGGTTTAGATGGACAGAGATGAGACTGAGATCAGTACCAGTATTGCAAGACTCAGTGTGCTGGGTCAGACTTCTCAGAAGCTGTGAAGGGTCAGAAATCAGAGCTCTACCCAGAGACTGGCTGTGTCCTGCAGAATGCCCTGACCAGAAATGCGATTTAACAAGGAAGCTGCTGCTGATGTGAAGCCATTCATGTGTTGACCCTTACAGAGAGTTAAGTAACCTCTTGAAATAGTTAGATTGATTTAAGGCATAGTAAGTTAATTGGTGTGTTGTGCTAAATACTTTGCTGAATAATCCTGGGATGTACCTCCACCAACACCTCAAATGTTTCTGCAGGGGCTGTAAAAAAAAGTACATAATCTATTTATTATAATAATGATTTCCACAAATAAAAACTGATAACAAAAGAACAACTGCTAAATGAAAGCATGGGTTTGTGTTTAACAAACAAGCTTGTGATGTGTGAGTCCCATCCCCAGTTCCGTGTTGGAGCTGGGCAGATCACTCATTCTGTACACATCTTTCTTTCCTGGAGTAAAATACAGATTATGATCCTTAAATATCGAGTGCTGTGAAGTTGTTATTGATCATACATTGCTTTGAAGATTAAAAGTGCTTTGTTTTTTGTTTATCATTTTACTTCTGAAATAAGAACTGTAAAGTACAGTAGCTTTAAACACATCAGCAAAGTTCCCAGAGTCCTTTTTTGGCCGTATATAACCTCCTTTTTTTAATCTTCTTTCTCTATAGAGTGAATTCAGTGATTGTACTGATCTGAAGGAAAAAGTGTTAGAAAATTGAAGCTTCAAATATTCTGCCTCTCTTTCTTCTATCTTTGTCTCCTTGAGTTATTTCCCTTCTTTGATCTTGAATGGAAAAGTAGCAAGTTACCTTTGTGCTGAAGAAAAAATACAAGATTTCTTAAGAGATCCCTTACTTTCCCATGCTACTTTGCCTGTAAAAGTCAAATTCCTTTTGACAGAGAGCTCTGTGTAAATGACACCCTATGGCCAGGCAGTCCAGGCTCTATCACTGCTGGCTGAAGTGGGATCAATGCATGATTTTGATGGAATTGAATTCTCAGACTAAGTCTGACATATGAAATATTAACAAAAGAATTCCAAACTAAAACCAAGTCTTTCATTGGGTACCCCACACATCTTGGGGAGAAAGGGTTTTCATTATTGTTGTGTGTGGTTGAATCATGGATAATGAAAGCAGGGATTGTGTGTGCAGATGCTGCTGGAAGCCCTTAATGAGAGGGGGATGCCAGCAAGTACAGAGGGACATGGAGGGTGGAAGCAGCTGTGCTGTGAAGGAATCCTAAATGAATTTCCCAGCTGATTAAGAAACAAATGCAGATCAGGAAGGACAGGGTGAATTGAGAGAATTTTTCTAAGTCAAGCAGGGATTCAGAGGAAAAGGTTTCATGAAGTTTTGGCTTACCAGAATAAACAGCAGCCTCATTAAACAAGAGATTAGAAGCTGTTGAAAAGAAAAATCCATTTAATCTGATAGATTTTGGTAAAATAATATCAAGTCTTTATACAATACTTGTAAAACTGTTAGACTTAACCTTTAGATAATTAAACTTCTGACATTCCCTTGCTGAGGGTTAGGTCAGGCAGCGTGATGATTGGGAGGTAACGGATTTGATCACATGCAGTTCTACATTCTGTTTGCTTTGGGAGGCTCTGTGCATTCCCATGAGACATGAACAATATTTTACTCTGTCTCTTGCAGACCTAGCATAGTTGAGGGGCCTCTTGAGCATCCATCATGTCTTATGATGATACAAGTGGCTGATGGCAAGATGTCACCTTGCTTGATAGCTAAACATCTCGGTAAGCTCAAAGGGATTAAACTAAGGTGGGGCAGGAGCTCAGATTTAGGAAAATAAATCTAAAATTGTCCTAGGCTAGAGGAAGCCTTGTGGTATCTCTCCCTGCTAAAACTCTTCCTAAAGAAATGCAGGATGTTAAATTGACGATGTGTAAGATTGCATTGCACTGCTGTACAGTCAGCCAGCTGAATTAGGAGAGCTAGACAGTACTTAGTCATAAAATGGTGTTGTGCCCATGATGTTATCAGTAAGGAAATTCATACTATTGCAAGGATGCAAATGATGGCTTAATTATATGCTCCCACTAGCATAAGATGCTTTTAGATCTTTCCCTCAGACTCATGTACTGTGCTAATTAACAGTAATCCAACTGGAGGATCCCAGTGCAATGCTTCTGCATATTTTTTTCAGCTTATGCTGGAGCTCTTATGTTCTTTTCTTAAATAATTAATAATCATTACTGCCTGCTGTGCTGTGGGTATGTGCCAGTGATCTCAGATCCCAGCACATTTGCACCATTCCTGTTCCTGTCAGAGGCTTGGGTTTGCTCTTTGCAGAGGCTTTCATGTTAAGCCCTTCATTAGCTGGCAGTGGGGTTTGGATTTCAGTGGCATCGGGCTTTGATGTCATTAAGTATCAAGCTGTTAAAGGAAGTGCCACCTATTTCATTACTGTGACTATCTTTATGCAATTAAGTTAAATACCGAGTGGAGAACAGATGCATTTTACTAAATAACACTTGGTTCACAAAGCATTTTCATCTCCAGGAATTTTGTGCTTACCTTGCTGGCCTCAGCAATGCACCCTGTAAGGAGGCAGGGTTGCTGTTAACCTAGTGGGAAACCATAATGCAGATGAGTGATGGAGCAGGGTGAAGAGCCTTTGGTGGCTTCTGTCTTCTTTGGTTTTAGTTTTAATTAATTCCTCTCTGTGTTCACTGGGGTTTTACTCTGCTTCAGTCAATGTAGGTGAAGCATTACTTTATTTTTGAGTGCTTCAATGACCAAATGACCACTTATTCTAGTTGGAGGCTGGCATTTTCTGTATTGGCTGAATTAGCTCAAGCTGTACTGGACGTTGCAGTGTCTTTAACTTTCTTAGCGCAGCGTTACCGAGCCCCGCGCCCCGCTGGGATGGATCTGGGCGGACCGGGAGGGGCAGCAGGAGCGCCGGGACCTCGGCACCGCGTCCCTCCAGGGGATGCTGCTCAGGTGAGTGCGTGCCGGGCTGTCCCGGCTGAGCAGTCCCGCGGCGGGGCCCGGCCTGCCCGCCCCTTGCCCGGCCTGCCCAGCACTGCCCCTTGCCCGGCCTGCCCAGCACTGCCCCTTGCCCGGCCCTTCCCCAGCGCTGCCCCTTCCCCGGCCCTGCCCCGCGTCCCCGCCCCTTCCTCCCGGCCGGCTCTCGGGTGCTGCCTGCGGCGCCGCCGCTGCCCTGGGCGCCGGGACGCGGCGGGTCCCTCCCCCGGAGCCGCCCAGGCACCTCCCTCGGGCCGCCGCGGTGAGTCACGACGGAGGAGGAGGAGGCGGCTCCGCTCGGCTCCGCTCCGCTGCTCTCGCCCGCCCGTGCCGAGCGCGCCCCGCCGCCGCCCGAGCCGCCGGGGCCGCGGGCCCCGCACCAGGTGAGCGCGGTGCCCTTTGTGCGCGGCCGCGAACAAAGGCGCTGGCCCGGGCCGGCTCCCTCCGCTGTGGGCCGGCTCCGCTCCGCCGGCCGGGCCTCCCCGCTCCCCGCTCCGCTGGCAGGCCCCGGCCCCGCGGCACAGGTACGGGAGGTGCCGTTCTCATTTCTGCCATCACCCCCTGCGTGTCACCAGGCGCCCGTTCCGGGGTCCCCCCCGGGCATGGCTGCGCTGCGGAGGCAGCCGGAGCGGTGCCCGGGGTGTACCGGGGGCACGGACGGCAGGTGCCACCCAGCGCCGGGCAGCCCCTGCGCATCCCGGCCCTCGCTGCACAAACGCCTCTCGGACAGTGCTCACTGAAGGGCTTCCCCCGGGGTAATCCTGCCTCGGCTAAAAACTGGGTTTCCAGAGCCTCTGAGGCAGCACTCGGTAACTTTCAGTGCATATGGGCGGTATTTGTTGGCACACGTTAGTTTTTTACCTGTTGGGAAGATGCGTGAGAGAGGGACAGCATCACCCTCCGGATCAGAATGTATCAGAGACAGATGAGACGTGATCCTCCTTTCTGCTCAACATCCAGATGTGCTTCATCAGGGCATGTTTGCCTCACAGGCTCGGGTTTGCTTTCTCTTGAAGAAGAGAATATTTTGCTCTGTTGTATATCATCTTTTATTTGTCCATTCCTCATCTTGGCATGTTGAACGGGACGAGCTTTGATGCTCTGTGAGATGAGCATGAGACATTCTGCAGATGTGAGGATTTAAAAAAAGAATCAAAACACCATTGGAGGCAAGTTAGGTGTGCTGGTTCACAGTCGTGGTCTAAGCTGGCTCCAGTATGCTGAGAGGCATGATTAGAGAGTATTTAAGAACGTATTTTTAAAGACATTTACAAAATCCTACTATATTTTTTTTTGGCTGCTGAACGCACAGACTTTCAATTTCTTTTGGCCTTGCTTATTTTTGGAGCTCGTGTGTGATGTGAAATAGCCTGCTGAAGGAGAACCTCTGTGTAAATGGTGAAAAAATGAGGCTAAACATGCACTTCAGTGGGGTTTATTCTGAAAGTACAGGTATTCAAGGTGAGAGAGCATACAGAAAATTACAGGCTGGTTTTCTTACCAAGCTACAAGCCACTTTTGCCTTGACAAACAGATTAATTTGGCAAATGGTGGCAGGTGTACTTCAGATACATTTCTGTTGCTTCACTTTGCCCTCAGCTGAAAAAGCATCATCAGTTACTGTATCTTTGGCATCGTGGGAGAAACTGGCAGCTCCCTCAGTGTAATTTAGAGTTGTTGGGGGTCTGTGTGCTGTGTTAGTTGATGTACACAGAAATAGTAAATCTCTGAAGAAGGACTGAACAAATGCAGGAGCAAAGGCCATTTTGAAAAACTTAATTGGTGATGGGTTGGACCCAAATCTGCTTTAAAGCAATTTTCTCTTTTAGTTCATTGTATGTACGCCTTGCAACAAGTTATGGAAAAGTTCCACAGGGCAGAAGAGTGCTTTCAGGATTCCTCTTGAGGTGCAGTGCAATGAAATCTTGAGCAGGGAAAGCATCCCTGGGCTGGCAGGGGTCCCTGTGCCCGTCCCTGTGCCAGTCCCTGTGCCATCAGCAGGGCTGGGGCTGCCCTGGCAGGGCTGTGCTCACAGTGAACAGGAGCCCCTGGCCCTGTCTGAACAAATCACTTATTGCTCGTGTCACTGACAGAACATCCTGTGCAGCGTTTGGGAAAGCCAGTTCTGAATCCCAGGTTTATGGGAAATCTGTAGCTGTGTCCTTTTCTGCTCCCCTCCATCCTTTCCCCCATCCAGGGTTGGAGAGTGCTTCACTTTGCAAGAGGAGGGAGAGGTTTCCAAAACAATTTGTGTTATTTTCTAAACAAAACCAGAAGCGAACGGAAACAAAACCTAGATTTTGTAATACTAACAATGACTGTGATACATATCTGCTGCCAAAAATTAAAAATCATCCTGCAGTTGCATGTGGGCAAACAGAGCTAACACCTAAAAGTGCCTGATGTGGTTAAGCTGTTCAAGGTTGATGCTTTGCCTAGGAAACAGCTTGTCAGAATTAGATCTATTTATATATGTTTAATAGAAGATTTTCCTCTCCAAAATATTTGTCATCTGTAACCAACACAAACATTTATGTTTTTTACCAAGTGTTTCAGTTCCTAAGTTGGTTGTTGACTACAAAGCACCCTCCTGAGCATCTGACCTAGTTTGCAGCATCAAACATCCACCCAAGTGCTGTGCACAGAAAGGCAATAGGCTTTGGGGGGCTGCTGTTGGAGGTGCTGGGAGAAACTTCCAGGAGAATTTTTTCCAAAGTAAAAGGATTTGGTATCAGAAATATTCCTATACATGCACAGGCAAAACTGTGCAGGCTGTCATCAGATTGGGTTTCCTGCTGAAATGCAGCAAGGACAGAGGCAGCTGCTGCTGCTGCACCACACCATGGGCTGGGTAGTGCAGAAGTGATTGGGAAAAGTGCAGTCCTGCCAAATGTGCCAAATGTTTGTGTTCTGGGCTAAAGCTATTGTGTGACCAGTCCCAGTTTTGATGGTGATGTGCACCAAAGACATAAATTATTGGAATGAAAACATTGTCACCTGTTCCACACCCAGTGTTGGTAATTCAATGGTCTTACTTCTACGTATGAGGGAGAAATTATATGTAAATGGGATTGAAATGTGCTGAAAACTTTTTACCAAGTAACTTCGTTTAGGAAAAACCCCCAAAGCACTTGGTTCAGTGTTGTGTCTCTGAGAAGGGGAAACTCTTACAGTTCTTTTTCCCTTTGAAGAGCTGCGCCCTGTCCATGAGCTTCCATTGGCACGAGAGTGCAGAGGGAGCAGAACTAGAGGTGAGAAGACATCAAAGATCAGCAAATTAACCAAAACCCATTAGTTAGTACTGGCATGAGGAGAACACTCTCCTGACTCTCAGATTTATTTTCAGCCTTAGTGTTGAGGAAGCATTATATAACAAATGCTCAAAAAAGTGAGGAAAGCTCATTCTTGTTTCTGCTCACTGCTGGTGATCTGACAGAACCCTGCAGAGCTTCTGTAGGGTTTAAATGTCAGTCTGAATTCAGAAAGTGGAGTCATGCTTCTTGCTTTTCAGTAAATACATCCAAGGTTTTACAAGTATCAAATCTGCCAAGCCTATTTCTGTTTTCAGAAATATAGATATAATTAGTCATGATATTTAAAAATAAACAAGACAGCCTAAAAATCTCAAAAAACCCCTCTAATAATTTCAACTTCTTGCATTATTGGAATTCCTGTGACTGACTAAATGAGCTACTGATTGGGGAACAGAGGTGGAGTCAGTAAATTTGTACAACCACTCCACTTGTCTCAGGACATTCTGTTTTATTCTGTGCAAATACACAGAGCAGGAATTTATTTGATTTTTCACCAAGTCCATTTTCTTTGTGTTATAAGGGCAGCTAAAAAATATGGAAACAACTTAGGTAATCAACTCTGTTTATGACCATGACCAAGCTCAGAAACCTTCTGACTCAGTTTATCCTTCCATAAAATTAGTTGACTACTTCACATGAAGGTGGAGATGTTTAATTAAAGTGTAATTGTTTTGCCTCTGAACTCATCCAGGTCCTGATTCAATGCACAGTGAAGTCAGTGAGGAGCTTTTAATTAATTTCCTTGAGCTTTAAATAAGTACACATGGACGTGCACCCTTAAAGGAAATGTGACCTAAATTTTTACAGCAGAATTGCTGTAAAGGAGGAATATAAATCCTGAAACAACTTCAGGTAAACTACTGAAGGAAGGCTTTTTGTAGAACTGAGGAGGGAATAGTGCAGCTGCAGGGATCTCTGGTGCCTGTTGCCATTTTAATGTAGTTTTAATGGAATTTCCTAACTTTGAGTGTGTTGGATCTTATGTGGGAAACTGGAAATTTCTTTGTGCCTTGGCAGCTTGCTCAGTTGGTCGGGGGAGGCAATATCAGACTTCAAGATAAACACAGTTAACTGAATGTTTATGCAAAACCAATCAGCAATAACACTTACAATATAATTAACTTCAAGAGTTGATGCCAAATTGAGAAAAATAGGAGCATTCATGTCTTCTTAGCTGCCTTTTTCAGGAATGTCTGTAGATGCCAAATAATACTCGTAAGTTTATGTGGAATTCGTGAAAGGTTTTGCTTAACTTCAGAGGTCAGAAACATCAGGTTTTGCTAAACAGAACTTTTATTGCTGAAATCTTGGTCAGCAGCTACAATGAACTTGGTAAAATAAGCCTTTCACAGTTCACATCGAGCTGCAACCATTCTGTTACTGTTTCACTGTCCTGATTCTTAGTTCAGTAACTTTTACAAAATACATTTTAATCTTTGAATGAAGTACTGTGTGTGGAACAGCGTGTGTGAGGCACTGCAGTTTGGCCCTTTGTTTTCCATGGGTTCATTTCATTGCTCTCGGTAGCTGCAGTTTCAGATGTAATTGCTATCAGCTCCTGCCTTTTGTTGAGCAGCTAACCATAACAGAGGTGTGCCTAAATGTGCTTGTGCTTTTGCAGAAATCTGCCTGCTCTCCCAGTCATTCTCTTGGCCCATTCTGCCTTACATTGGTGGTGGCTGGGTGCAGTCCTGCTCCTGGGATTTGCAGTGCTTTTACCTTGTGTGAGGATCAGCCACTCTCGAGCTTTGTTGTGAACGGTCTCTGGGCTAACTCCTGTTGTTGCTGTCATTATGTATTGCAGTTTGATTCATCTAAATGAGTGTTTTCACATGTGGTTGCCTTTGGCACGTGTGTTGTGTCCTTCCTGTGCTCAGGAATTGCTCAGTCCCTGGGTTTGCTCAGTCTGAGGGGACTCTGCAGCTCTCACACCACTCCCCTGCTGCAGCTTTGTGCCCCAGCTCGGGGAGTTCAGGTGACATTCAGAATGGTGCCTAGGCAGGAAGGAAATTGCATCCATTTTCCTGAGAAGTCTCCTGAAGGCAAGATTTCCTTCCTTGCAATCCCAC